ATATGATAGATTTTGAAGCATGCAGACGTGTTTTTAACGGGCATATAACACCATCTTTATCGTTTCATACTAGAGTTATTGATTTCAAAAAAACGACCACATACCATTAGTCCGTTCTAATTTATACATAGCAGTTCATGGACTACCTATCAAAGTGCGTCCCTAAAGCAATACACGACGTGCATGTGTCTAGGTTTGACAACTTTCGATTGTCTGAAGAGATTATATATCATCTTTACAACCTCTGTCACTGCCAAGGCTTTTTTGCTTGAACTTTTCTTCTGTTTCAACCATGGAGTAAGACGACGATTAAAAATATAACAATATATTGTATAGGGTGTTGATAGCAGTGTTACGATTTCAAAAACTTGTAATCCCTTCCTTTCATTAATTGTGTATCAAGATGATGTGAAAACATTCTCAGTTTATAGGAAATAGTTTGTCTACATACGTTCTATGTTTCAAGATATACATATATATATAAACAAAAGACAAGAGTTTTTTCGACTTCACTAGCGCTTTCTTCTCTTTAGAGGTTCATCAGGAGAACTGTTTATTCATGTTGACAGGAGGACAACAACACAACACAGAAGGTGATGACGTCATGATAATTATGACGTCACAATACAACCTACGATAATTGGCGCCAAAATGAACAATGCACTTTAACGTCAACATTTGAGGAACAACAAAGATGGTGTTACAGAAATAGATACATGTATATATAGCTACAGGCACGAGTATAGCAACAGAATTGTTCACATACATTTTATTTATTTATTCATGCAACGATCTATGCTGTTCGTGTCACGAGGTGTGGTATATTATGCCAAACTTAATACAAACTAGTATAACCAACATATATATACATTTATTTACAACCAAGCAAATCATTCAATATACAAAACATAAATACCACAAACTACACAATCACACTGTGCAACAATCTCTTTCACTCACTCCTAACAATACATCGACCCCCGGTTTACACTTTACGAATAGTTCACCCTGCATCAATAGATATAACTTAAAGTGATGTTACAATCTCTGCATGTTATATGGTTCACGCGTATCCAGGAATGGCACGTATATACGTATATGTGTATAGTGCCGGAGAGGGGGGTGAGGGGGGGGGGGGGGTTCTTGGGGTTACTCTGCCCTGTCTTAGCATGTGATGTCCTCAAGTTCTTCAGTCACCTGTTGTGAATTATACTACTGAAACTGCTTTAACAGCTTGTATGTTTAGATGATGGTCAAACAAGATATTGATATTTAATGCTCTGTGTGACCAAAAGAGCAATAACAAGGTAGACAAGTGCTCGAATAGATGAAAATACAGTGTATGTCTAATATGTGTAATTCACTAATTGTTTACATCTATACATGGAATTGTTATGTATTAAAATCAGCTATTAACATAATTTTGACGACAGCAGTCTTTAATGCTCAGTGTATACAAGTAGTTTAAGTAATACATATGACCAAAACTATTTGCGACACTATTGTTTTAGTTCCGGAAACTTGTATCGCGGAAACGACACATTCCGCTCGTTGTACCGGGTTTTGAACTCGATTGTCTATGTTATGATACATCTACAGCAATAATTAGAAGTTGACTTGGTAATAGTAGCAAATATTTGTTCAATATGAATTTTATATAACGACCTGCATATACAATAACAACACAACAAATAGTGAATTCAAGCACATCACCTTTGGAATGGAGGCGGTCCAAAGATCCGGAATACGGATAGGAACTTCGATATATTGATTTTTATTTATTTTCCGAGCATTAATGCCACTTGATTTTAACATATATCAAATATAAGTGTGGTGCACGATAAAGAATCCATATTTTTGACAGTATGGATAATAATTTGACATAATTTTGTCATTTACCAATTAAAATAGGAATAGGCAAAATGGGTTGGGGGAACGGAGTTCTAACTTCAAGTGAGCAAAACTGCAAAATTTTCATTAAGAACCCCATATTTTTTATGCTTACCGAAAAGCATATATACGTGGCTGTATTCTGTCAAAGTTTTATAAAGTTGACATGGGTTTTGACAGCATTTTTGCTTGTTTAATGCATTTGTTCGATGTAAATTTGTTAAAAATTGCATTTTGATGAGAATGGATGGCCATTAAAAATGCATAAATTAGAAAAATACATTATTATTTTTGCTTTTGATAGTACATCACAAAATGTTGTAAAAATAGTCAACTTGGTGGTAGCTTAAGTTTTGTATATATTGTAGAAAACATATTTTTAATTAATTTTCATAATTTGGGGGAAATTTTCAGCTTAAATATCTCAAAAAGTAAAACGAGAACCCCCTTTTTTCTTTTCATATTTGGAATCTACGTAAAAAAAAATGCCAAAAAATACGCCTGATTAGAAAAAAATGACATGCCTTTTTTCCAAAAGGATGGACCCAACTTGATTCCAACTCCGGGATTCGGTTGTTTGTAATCTCGGCCTTGTTATGTACGGCGTGTGTAGCCCTAGGCCTAATGGTTACATGCATGCCGCGTTCGTCATGTTCGTGGACATTTAGGGATAATACAGTACATGAATATGTGTAAGTAAATTCACCTCATTTGATATTTTCTAATGTTGTAAACATACAGATTCATTCCTTATATCGCCACTAAGTTGGTCACTGTGCGAACCCATATGAAACATTGAAATATTGTCGGTTTTAGCTTTGTCAGATTGATATCGTGTAAGGAGAAATCGGATCACCAAACCATCTTTTATTTAATTTTATTCATTCATTGAAAATTTTGAGGATGAACTATATTCAAGTATCAAAGGAAGAATATCGATGGATGTTCTTACAAACGAAATCAGCACCCGGGGCTCACGCGGGAATATTTATAGAGCGCTCTGATCTTTCGTCACAAATCAGCGTTTCCAGTTTTTGCGAATGTCAGAAACAAAATCGGATAATTTTTTTTGCAGTTTCTTACACTTTAATTGAAGATTTTTTTGTCAGCATGTTAACATTATATGATGACCTTCGGAATTTATATGAAAACAAGTATTTTAGAGTGTGAATTTATTCCTATAGTCCAAGACAGAATGCAAAGTCGTCGCACTGGTTATCTTTCAAAACACTAACTTTTGAGTTTGAATTACGTTTTCTGGTGCTATTTGAAGTGAAACACTAACCATCTGTAGACAAACAATGGTGCATGATTATATATTCTAAAGCTTCATCATTGTTATAACTGATCTGTTAACACGTTTATTGATTTCAAAGTATTTTTGCAAAAAAGTGATCCGATTTGTCAAAGTCTTGAGCATGGTCAACTGTAGATTAAAGGTATTTCTTTTAAAAACTCAAATACTTAGAATAATGAAAAATGAGACAAAGATACAATAAAAAATATTAATGATAACCAGTAGATCTTGCATTTTTCCCGTTGGAAAAACAGCCGTTCATACTAATATAAACAGCTGCTTTTTGGGTCACATGTGCTACTATTAACCAATCATAGAACCTGGTACAAAGTGCAAAATGAAATTTGGAATTATACAAAATCCACCTCAAGAACCAAGCAAAATTCATTGCATATTTTTCATGAATGTGAAAGGAAAGGATGGAAAAGATCTAGAACCTAGTACTATTTAGGGGAATTTCATGCAGTGTTGACAGGCACCTGAAATGTTATGATTACGGATTTCAAATTTCGACAAGTAAGGAATTTCAAAAAGTGACAAAAGTCATCAAAACAAAACAAAAATGAAATGCGGTGATAACATCAACAGATTATACGAAACAAAGCAGTTGGGTTATAACAATCCTGAATCCCTCTTACGAACCGTCTGGTTCAACAACACCATATATTTCGGAATGCGGCATTACAGAACATCACGTCCCTGCTTAGATAGAAGGGTTAACCACAGGTGAAAACACAGGTAAACACAAGTAAAAACACAGGTAAATACTGCCCATACTACTTAGAAACAGACTATAATCCTTCTAACAACATTCTTTCCCCCATGTTATTTTAAACGACCGTCCGTTTTATATATCGGCCTACACCAACCATGTCAAAATCCAAAAAGTGATATAAAGCACAACCAGTCGGCGTAAACAAACTGGGAAAGTTCATGTCGACTATGGCAAACATCGCAGGTATGTACACATGCACAACATAATACTCAACTGTAAAGTAATATGGGCCTTCAACTCATAATTTATATAAAAATAGGCCTAAACAGATTTGAAATTGGTCAATACTGTAACACAGTCGATGTTACGCCGTTGCGTAATTGATTATAAATAGCCCGAGAAAGGACAGGCCGGAAAGTTTTAACACGCAGATTCATAACCGAGCTAGTTTATGAGGGTATAGTCGTATAGGCGTAGATGGTCACGCAGGTGGTCACGTATAAGACATAGCTTATTGAACCGATGACTATTAATCCGACGTGTTCATGTTCCCACTGACCAGCTAGGCATGATTCTGACGGATTTATGGACCATTGGGAGAGATAAAGGCTAGATGTACCTTATGAATTATATGTCCTACTTTAATAGTTATCTCTTCTTCTTTCTTTGTAAATGATTTTGTACCGGTACTTTATAGTCATTTTTTACCAATAGCTTAAGATCGTATGAAATAGTTTACAAATCATCTGCATCCCATACATCATTGTTCATTGTATAATTGCTGTGCTCCTTTATTTGTCTCTACGCTACCAGAAAATATCAGAAATATCGGAAAACATCCCGTGGCTTGTCTGCGCCTAGCGTCGACGCCCGCTTCGGTACTAGCTATATCCGGTGTAAGTCCTACGTCTGTGGAGCCAGGGAGCTACGCTCTTATAAAGAGCTATGGCGGAAAACTGCCCATATTTCCCAAAGTTACGATCCTTTAAATCTGTCCACACTTGAAAGATCCCTTTGCTAAATTGACATATAAACATAAACGCACACAAGTGACTGATATCAACATACTCTATACAGATAGAACGAAGCACAACCTACCTGTCGATGATTGGATTGTAAGGAGAACGATGAACAAGTAGAAGCTGAGTTCACGGTGAGAGACACCAATAATTTGTTTTTGTAGGTAAATATCAGACATCCTGCCGTATGTATACATGTTTAAGTTCATGTACAGTGTTTACAAGCTTCCTGGTCCAAACATACTGATATAAAATAGTAAATATACAGGGCGAATGTACACACTATATGTTATATTGTTTGTGAACTTCCTGGTCGGTGACCCCATACACATCTATAAATAGCTACTCGAGTCGATATAAACGCACATTCATACCTGTATAACCTACCTGTATAATTACCTACCTGTATAACCGGCCGCCACTACATGTACCTCTGCTCGCTATACACAAAACACAATGTATCGTGAAAAAATGAATGGCACTAACTAAAATTAATTGACCGTTGTTTTTTATTTGTATACAATTTTGGCTTTAACATTTATATTTGAGCATGAATTACAACAATTTGAACTTTCTGATGAATCAGAAGACACGGTAACGAAACTGTATATCAGTTCGTAAGTGTAAAAGTTAATGCAAACAACTCATATAAATAGTATGCGTTTATAGATATACTTAACAACAATTGTCTTGGGTAGGTACATGTATATTTTATATTTAAAGCAATTTCTGATGTAAGAATTGTTGATATTTATTAGACCGATTTCCTGGAAAGGATTGGTTGTTATCTAGATCAATATATAGAGTATGAAATCACAGGTTGTATGTAAATTAATAAAAAAAGGAGATCGAAAACAGTTATCCTGGAAAAAGATACTGTTCCTGTTATGATATTCTATTAACTCTGTTTGTCATAGAGTTTGATAGTACGGTGATTACTACTAAAGTAATAATTACCTTCTATCTTGGTTTTCCAAGCCGCCACGTGGTTGACTATATCTCAATGTCGCTGGACTGGTCAGGCAGGAGAGATATAGCTCACAACGCTAGTAATACTAGTAAATAAGTATCTGTCACGGTGCCCAACAATATGTGAGGTCACCGAGAAACTGTCACTACTATAAGTAGAGCAGGCTGTAGGAATGAAGGGGTACAATGACTACAATATGCAGAGCATCATAAACCGTCCGTACAGTCTGGAATCCTGGAAGGAAGAGAGTTGGGGTCCAGGTATATTCACCCAAGCATCACGGGATCTGCTACGCCTCACTTCCGGTGAAAGCCCGGATGACGTAATGTAAACAGACCGTCGACACAACATTCCTCCCCACTTTATAATGAAAGTCCTTCGTTCTGGGAGATCCTGAATTGGAGAATATCCTGACCCTTAGTTCAAGTTCCCACAAGCTATAAGCCTATGTTTTCCACATGTTCTATTACTGGTTGTTGCTCCATGAAACACAGAGTCAAGGCCCAGCCTCTTTAAGTCTTCTGGAGTATAGGTACAGGGTAGCACTATAAGCACAAACCTGGCCTAAAAGACCAGGTACCCCTGACCATAGATGTTATACAATACCATACACACGTCGATACAGTCGTCGGGCGTTCTGGACAGATGTAGCCAGCAGTGATTCCGGGTTCATCTTGAAGTAACGTGCTAGAGACGACGCTGTCCGGAACAGTTGGTTTGGTGCGGAGCACTTGGTTCCGGGTCTGGCAAAATATGGAGTGTCCGTCTCTAACAGTACTCGTTCAGAGTTGATTCCCCTCACGGCTTGGGACTGCTGGTTGTTGAACTTAGCAGCCATACTGGTGAATCCGAAGTACAGCTGTGAGAAGGCACTGGTCCACTGGTCACGAACATACGAATCTCCACTGAAACAATGGAGATGTATTCTCTGGTCAGGACGCACAGCCTTCTTCACATAATAGAGCAGAAGTAGATAGGCCTCCGCTCCACTGTCTCCGGTGATTCCTCTACAGTGTAATACCAGGACATGCCTGGGTTCCACAAGTGGCAGAATCTTCTCCAGCATAACTGACTGCTGAGCCCACTGCTCCCTAGGGACAGAATGGTCTAGCCCAATCTCGCCGACTGCTCCGACACGAGGCAGAAGGATAAGTTGACGCAGCTCCTGGACAACGCGGTTGAACTGATCCTGCGAGTACTGGTGCTTCGGATGTACCCCCACTGCGACCTCCATGTCCTCTGGTAGTGTAGCCAGATGCTCCTTAGTTGGATAGGTAACGGGGTCACAGTAACAGGCACAGGTTCCAACAACCTCAATCTCCTTTCCCGGTTCCATTGGACTGCGTGCGAGCAATGACTGGAAGGTAGTATCCTTTGGTAAACCCATTGCACGCAGTGTCCGGTCGAGGTGGAAATGAGAGTCAAATGCACGGGGCCTGGCCCGTGCCACCTCCTCAGGAATTGGAAACTGAGTTCTCCAGTACTCACGTTCACTCGAGGTCATCCTTGCCAACATCAACATAACCGCCTTCCAGTGGATAAGGGCCGCTATAGAATTTACCGGGTCCACTGTATACTTGACTTGGACCGGCTCACCCAGATAGCTACTGAACGCCCTCATAGCCACCGTCTGACTGTCAGTGATGTTGACACCTCCCTTCGTTGCCAACAAGTGCTGCATATCCACGAATTCTCGAAGGTCCCCGAGATGTCCCACTGGCCTCCGGAGGAGCCAAACAGCAGCCTGCATGAGTGCAGCCTCTCTGCCTCGCAACACTTCCTGACTGCCAGGGTCCACATGTTCGCTGAATATTCCAGGTATGTGTTCCCGGAATGCATGGAGGCGAACATAGCTAAAATCTCCCTGAAAATCAGGAACAAGGCATTTCCTCCTCACCGACAAAGCCCCCTCAGCCGAGGACCCACCCGAGCACTCCACCACCAAACCTCCAGGAGCCTCCTCAGGGGAGGAGACCGTCCGGGTGAACGCTCTACCTCCTCCGAGGGATATCCTCTTTGATTGAGGACCCGCCGGCTGACTGATTGGACGTTTCTTGGTGGCGCCCGGGTCAGCCCGCACATTTCCACTAAGGACCTTACGGGGACTATGACGGAGAGAGCTGTAATGCTTCCTTGGACTCCTCCTCGGACCCTCGGGACGCCCCTCTCGCGATAGTCGCTCAGCCACCGTGGGTTTAGCCTCTGAGGAGGCACGATACGCACCTCGCATCAGAGTCTCGCCCGCGACAGCATAACGACTTGATGTGACTCGTTTTCGGCTTCCACGGGGGGGTGAGGTCGACTCCACACGGCGGGAAGCTGGCTTCCTCTTGGGAAGTGGTGATGGCAACTTCTGGGGTACCGGTTCCGGCGATGTCAATGTCTGGGGTACCGGCTCCGGCTCTGGGTGCCCAAGATCGATGTGAATTGGGTCTGCTCCCAGATCCAGTGCATCATCCTCCATTCTCACCACCTCAGGGCTTCGTGACGAAACCTCCTCCACCCTCCGTGCCAAGCTGGGATCAGTGGACAACCGTATGTCATGATACATAGCCCTGGACTCCGCGGCAATAGGTCCTGGTCTGTTGCGCCTACCGATACGATAGACGTTAGCCGCAATCCAGTCGTGCGACTGCAGCTGACAGACGTTCAGGGTCTCCGCGCAAGACCTGAGCCACGAATCACGACGGTACTGCTGTGATCCCCTCTTGGTGTTCCCCTTAGCCAACTCACACATCGCGATAAGTAGGGCCTTCATCCTAGAATCCGACACCTGAGCCAAACCCAGTCGCTCGACGAACTCGCGGGCTGGTTGATACAACTAGCCCTTATCTATAAGATGCGAGACCTCATCAGCAAACGACTGGTTCCGTCCAGATGCCATACCTGCAACATACCAGAGCAAAACACATGATTAGTTACTGCTACAACCACTGCATTTGTATTTGTCTATCTCAAGCGCGTCTGTAGCAGTCACGTTGACGCACGATCCGTGGTACCATTCCCGACAGTAGTCGCATTGAATCATAAATCGACCCTGCCAAGCTTTCCTGCAAATGCAGTAGACTTTTGTGCTCTGGGCAGACGAATCCAAATCATCCTTTTCCCCCTGTGTTTTATATATGTTGACCCACGCCGGGAGCTTTCTATCCCTACATGGCATCATCCGGTCATGATTGGTGATAAACACAGAGTTTCGTAGTTTGATCTGGTACAGGTATGCGGATAACCTTTTGATTATAACTCCCGGACCTTTCCAGGGAGAACACAATTTTTTGCATTTTCTCTTTACAACGGCTGAATCCAGCAAATACACAACATCCCCTTCGGCGTATGGTCTCAGTAGGACTTTAAGGTCATAATACCGCTTCATACGGCGTTGAGATGTTTTCAGCGTATTTCTGGCGACGGTGTGAGCTTCCTGGATATTTCCCATCAGGTTGGACACATACTCATCCATACTGTTATTATTCTGGCCTGGTATGGGAAACATCAACTGTGCTGGCGTATTCACCTCTCTCCCAAGCATGAGCATGTTAGGCGTGTATCCGGTACTCCTGTTTACGGAAGATCTGATAGCTCCCGCGATCTGTGGGACATGCTCATCCCACTTGTTTTGGGACATGCCAAGGAAACAGCGTACGGCGTCCATAAGCGTTCGGTTATACCGTTCCACTTGTCCATTTGATGAAGGGCGATAAGGCGTTGTACGCGCCTTGTGAATCTGTAACGCCCGGCACAATGATTCAAAGAGTTTGCTCTCAAAATTGCGCCCCTGGTCGGAGAAGAGTTGGAACGGATATCCAAACCGAGTAAAAAACCCATCAATTGCCGCTTTCGCTGTCCCCTCAGCTTTTTGTGAAGGCAATGGAACACACTCTACCCACTTGGTGAACTGGTCCACCATAATTAGACAATGTTCATTTCCGTTTGCCGTTTTGGGTAAGGGGCCAAGGAAGTCTATGTGCACACGTTCCATGGGGGCACCCGCATGATACTGCGTCAGGGGAACCCTTCCGTAGCGTTTATTTTTCTTGTTTCGGGTGCAAACTTCACACGTTGACACATAGGCCTCCACGTCCGTACCAAGGCGAACCCAAAAGAACTTCTCCTTCAATTTCGCCTTAGTCCTTGCCATTCCTTGATGAGCAGCTGAGGGTAGGTCATGATGCCACTGCATTGCCTTTTCCTTAAAGGACTGTGGAACTATAAGCGCCAAGTCCTTACTATCAGCTTTCTTCATGAACACCACCCCGTCGATCAGGAGAAACAACTCCCGGTTCAACCAGTAATACTTAGTTTCAGGAGAAGCCAGATGCAATTC